TATTTCTATTTATCTTTTTTTTTTGAAATAGGAGATGTGGGAAAACTACAAGTTGATGCAGTAAATCAACACGGACCATTGTTTTCCTGATAGTTCTTTTGGATTAACATGCATTATTATGGATTTGCTTTCTTGGCTATTTCTGATTTCTGAAATGAGATGTTGGAAACTCTAGCTCTCACTTCAGACTGCTAATGAACAGCTCAGAGCCCACTGTTTCACATGTGGAATTAGCCAGGATTTTCCCCCACACATATCATTTTATATCTATCTACACTTAATTATACTGGTGGTTTTATTGCTCACATAATCTTCCAAGATCCTTCTGCAGTCCTGCAATTAACCCTTAGTTTTGCTATCCTGAATAATTCTGTGACATCAGTACATTTTGTCATCTCACTGCGTATTTCTTTTTTTCCAGGACTTTTAGAATATGAAGAAAAGCAGCATAAAACCGTGGGGTTTTTTTTGTTTGCCTGTTTTTTGATAACTCTTTGGATGATCTTTCCAAGCAGTGATCATTCACTCCTATCATCTACTTTTTAACTTTTATCCACCCATCTAAATAAAGATATCTTACAATATTGCCACCTAGTTTCCTTGATAAACTCTTGATAAGGGGCTTCTTGAAATCTAAACAAGCAGATCACTCCTTTCTGCATGTTTATTAATATCTCTAGGAACTCCAACAGATGTGGGAGACAGGATACCCCTTTATCAGAGCCAGGCTGATATTCCCAGAATATAATACTCAGGTACCCAGGAAAAAATTCATTTATCATAATTTTTATTACTTTGTTGATAGAATCTTACAGACCTTCCCTTTCAGATTCTGTCTAGAAATAAAATTACACAGCCAACACTGCAGCTCCCCATTGGAACAATTATTATATGAGACTTTCTGAATAAAAGGAATTAAAATAAATAAATAAATAAATATGTGATAAGTTTCCCAAGTATGTAGCAGAAAAGTGTTTGTCACAATTTTGGGTTTTTCTCAATACCTAGGTGCCCTTCTACCATATGCTCAAGGAATACAATGCACAGATCTGCAATCACAGCTTAGAGATAACACTGTTAAAAGTTACTTGAAAAGGCTTCTGAGAATATCCTGGTCTTTCTTTGGAGAAGAAATAAGCCAGTATATATGGCTCTCAAGTATAAATAGATGTTGAAGTGACAAGGAATTAAAGACTTTCAATTGGAAGCAAAGGAAGAGGATGGAGAAAGCAAGTTTATTTTTTTTCTCTTCTGTCTTTATGCATTACACTTGAACCACAGAAATTATGTGGATGGATCCTTTGGAAAAATGACATCTTGGAGGTGAGAGCAGTAATTACCAAGTTTTCCTAAAATTGATGCTTTTATACTGGAATGAAAGTGTTCAGGCAGGAAATACAACTAGCACTTTAACTATATCCCCATAGTAATGCTTTCAATTATTACTATTACTCTAAAAGATTTCAGAACTTTTCCATTAATGAATAAAGGCAGAATCAAAATTCATCCTAAGTAAAACAGAGTGGGACAGACATGAAATGTCAGGGGAATGGAAACATCACCACTTCTTATTAATTACCTAAACACAAGGTTCTCTATGTATTGGAAAACAGCAACACTAGACCAGTGGTTTTCTTCTTCAGCTCTAAGGCTGCAGATGGTCTCAGCTGGTGGAAATCCTCTTCTTGAGTGCCATACAGAGCCTATGCCTGCAGGGAGGAGCTGAACACAAACACTTCCTCTTTTGCAATGTGCAAATTAGGTGTGGGTAGAAATAATAATCTCCTTCTGGATGACACTAACAGGAGCACAGCCTTTTAAAAGGCTGTTAGAACGGGAACAGCAGCCAACTGTTGTTTTTTTTTTGTTGTTGTTTTTTTTTTACAGAGATTTGTAAAAACTGTATGTGGAAATATGGTCAGTGAAAGTCTGTTTCTTCTACTTACAGGCTCTGAGACCCAAAGTGCTTCCTCAGCCCTTCTCAGCCCTTCTCCCCTCAGCCCTTCATCCTCAGCCCTTTTCTTCTCAGCCCTTCATTCTCAGCCCTTCTCCCCTCAGCCCTTCTTCTCCTCAGCCCTTCGTCCTCAGCCCTTCTCCCTCCCCACAGCCCTTCATTCTCAGCCCTTCTTCTCCTCAGCCCTTCATCCTCAGCCCTTCTCCCTCCCCTCAGCCCTTCATCCTCAGCCCTTCTCCCTCCCCTCAGCCCTTCATTCTCAGCCCTTCTTCTCCTCAGCCCTTCATCCTCAGCCCTTCTCCCTCCCCTCAGCCCTTCATTCTCAGCCCTTCTTCTCCTCAGCCCTTCATCCTCAGCCCTTCT